GACTTGTGGACTTCAACTCCCAGAATTCAACTTTAAGACTTGTGGACATCAACTCCCAGAATTCAACTTTAATAAGACTTGTGGGCTTCAACTCCCAGAATTCAACATTAAGACTTGTGGACTTTTAACTGCTAGAATTCCTCAGCCAGCTTTGCTGGCTGGGGAATTCTGGGAGTTGAAGTCCACGAGTCTTAAAGTTGCCAAGGTTGGAGACCCCTTGGCCTAGCAGACCAGTCAATCAGGTAGAGACAGAACTGTTAACCTCCCTGGGTTCAGAAGCCCGCAGAGGCCTTCACAACCTCACAACCTTCACAAGGGCACAACAGGAGGGCCCCGGGTGTATGGGGCACAGACTGATGATGGGCTTCCAAGTTCTGCTGGTGCCCCCAGACTCTCTATCCACGAAGGAAGGGGAAAGAAAACGGACACAGACCCCACAATGAGCTGAAGGCATGCACCGTGCCCGGAGCCAAGAAAAGGAAGCGGCGTGCGTACCCTCGAAAAAAGCAGCAAGTGCCGGTACAGAGGTACCACCAGCGGGTATTCACAGAGCCGGGATGCCATGGTGCCACTTTGCTGAAAAGAGAAAGCAGAGGTCAACCCCGGTGGGGTGCAGCGTCCACCGATGAGGCCGGGAAAGGGAGGCGGAAAGAGAAACACCCGCCTGGTGGCCTCTATTCCTTGCAGAACGTTCGCAAGACCAAGTTCCTAGTCCTTTTGAAAAGAAAATGCCATTTTCTCCTGTTCCTAACACAGCCGATGGCTCTGTTAAACTGTTCACATGGGGGAAGGAAGAGCGCAGAGTCCAGGAAAAAGGGGCCACACACACCCCCTAAAATCCCGGCAAAGAAAGCCCAAATGGGTCTCCTTCCCTCCTAAATCCCCCCCCCTCTTTTTTCCCCCCTCCCCGCAGAGGCTTACATGGGCTGGCCGTTCCACGCAGGGCAAGGAAGGCTGGCTGAGGTTGGGGGGCCCGGATGGGCTCCAGCCAAAAGCAGCTGGAAGGAAAA